TTGGGTATTTTGTCCCAGCAACGAAAGAAAAGTAACCAAGACATAAGCCAAAGCTTCCCTCCGGCTTCCAGTACATACCTTTGTTATTCAGCCTTCTTAGAAAGGTTTCTAGCCTGTCCAACTTCAGGTCTGATTCCAGCTGCATGTCCGGTCTGGCTTCAATGTCTGAACAAGTAGAAACCATCAATGAGAGAGTGTCCTTGAATATTCATCCAATTAGAAATGGACGGCACAACGGACATGTTTGTGACTCACCTTCCAGGGGCTTGGAAACTGGTGTAGTGCCCCTCGATTTGCTGCCAAGAGGGGATGCTACTGGAGTTATGGCCGTGGGTGATGCCAAACCTGCAGAACAGATGATGGAGCAAAGACGTAGTATCTTAAAATTACTTCTGGACGTCTCCAGGAGCCCAGTCATCCCCGTGAGTCTCAGTGTGGACTACAACGTATAAGAACTTAGGCCCGAACTTGGGCGTGCATATACATGCACGGGTGTTTGCTAGGTACCACAACTGTGGGGCAACTGCCATGTCCATAAGATTTTATTATTCCTAATGACTACAAGGCTGGCAAGCTGGCACTCTAAAAATGAATGATAAAGAATGGGAAAACATATCAGTGTTGTGTAATGGAATCAAAGGGTGCAAGGCAATCAGAATACACCCAACGAATGGAGTTACCAGTTCTGGAGGGTGGGAGGGGCCACTGGTGAGGAAGCAACATTTGTGTCATCTCTCACAGAGGACGTTAAGGATAAACTGCATCACACTATCCACAAAGTGGCCCCCAGCACTGGAGGTGAGGACAAGCTGGCCTTGTGACATTACACAAGACAGTGACCCAAAGAGTGCTGACCTTTCAGAAGCACAAGGAGAGGCTGTGCCGAAGAGAGTTATGATTGATGGGGGGTCACACTCGCCTCTTGTGTGGCTGTACACTGCGTGTCTCCTCAGAGATACTGGGAGGCAGGGTGGAAGGGCCCAGGGTAAGAGACGTATGCGAGGGGAAGAATGGAATTTCAGAACAGAGAGTGGAGCTAGTTGGAACCAGAAAACTTAATAGTGACAAAGGTAAGTATTTTTTCCTAACTAAGGGGAAGAGTTTGGAAAGGGAAGAAATGATGTTCATGTTCTCCTGTGTAATAAATGTGAAGTCCTTAGATGACAGCGAGCACGTGACAGTGCCCCTCTAAGCGTCCCCCGAAGAACACCCAGAGAGTATGTAAACCGGTATATTTGACAAGGAAAAATAAGCGAATAAATTACTCTGCGCCTTTCTACAGTGAGCTGGAGGCCTAAGTATCATAGCTTAAAACACTTAAGGAAGAGCATCGATAAGTGGCTGAAAGCTTAAGTGTTAGGTGATGTTCTGGAAATACTTCTCAGTGTGGACATGTATTTGTATATATGCATTTTCACATATACTGTATGTATTTTTAATATTTGTTTCAATTACCAGGTCTTCAAAGATTTTCAGTGAGAAAGCAAGCTTTCTTGAAAGATCATATAATAGATGCCAGGAAAATTCAGGCTCAGAGAATGGGGCAGTACATCATTCTTTGCTAAAAGGGTGCTTAAGAGAAGTCAAAAGAGTTCATTAGCACAGAGTCATTAAGTCTTATGCTAATTAACAGGACTCAGCTCAGATGGCTGACTTCCAAAGCCAACAGCAAAATCTGCCCTTCTGTTTTCTGGGGACAGGGCACTTCTGCTGCCATGCGCCCCTTGCTGCCCATTCTGGAGGTAGTGCTCAAAGAACTCTCAAAGGTGAGGTAAGATACAGTACTCTTCCCAACTGGAGAGATTTTTCCCTCATGAAGGAGAACATATTTGTTCAAATGATAAAATGTTAAAACAAACCAAAGCCCTCTTCTCTTCTTTTCAATGACTTCTAAATGCAACGGCCTGTCCTCTCTGGAAGTGTTTCCACGTCTCCCTCACTCGAAGGCGTGCCTGTGAGCATCTTTCCTCCAGGACGCTCCTGGAGAGCCACAGAAGCACGGGAGTGCTAACTGTCACACCGAGCTCAGGAGTATCAGAAAGGGGAGAACATTTTAGGGAACCTGGGGGGCACAGAGCCTCCTGGGTGACAGATGGAATCAGGGCGCAGCGTGCCTCCTGGCAGCTCACGACAGCCGGTTGCTCCAGGGGACTACCAAACGGCAGCACTGGTACAGGTGAGATGAGCGTCTCCGGGGCTGCTGTGTGGGGGCTACTTTATTCTGCAGTGAGCGTAAGCTGGGTGTGATGCTGCTGCAAATCAGAAAGAACTGAAGGTTCAAGTGAAATGCATAACCCAGTAGGTCATAACAAATACTAGAAAAATAAGACAGTTTTTTTTTTATTAGATTAAAAATACAAGAGGCCTAGGGATGTGGCTCCATGGTACAGTGCTTGGTTAGCAAGTATGAGGTACTGGGTTTGATCCCCGTATCACAAAAAAAAAGTACAAAAGGAAAGTATTTCCTGAGCAAGCCATACAGCAGGTGTTAAATAAATGTCCCGATTTGCTCAAGAAAATGGAAAAGCAAGTGTATTTACTGGAGTGTAAGAACTATTTGTTTTCCAAACCCACATAAGGGAAGGGAAGTCTGTTTCCTTTGATATCAGTAGAGACCAGGCACAGGGGACACTTAAGAGCTCACTTAAAAATAAGCTACAATTTTTAAATTGGGAGAGGACAAAAAAGTCATTGCAAAAAGTCATCAGGATACCAGCGAGAGCAGAAGTTGGTTCAAGTTTTCAGCTCCAGCTGTATTCATCAGTCTGTAGCCTCTGGTCTGCTTTTGCTAATAGAAGGTTGGGGTGTATGCTAGAGAGGGTTAACCACGATTATAAGCTTTGTGATTCGATGAGGGAAAGAGTCAAAACCTGCCTCATTCTGAGAGAGTAAATTCTCTTCTGCTGTCCTCCGACAATTGTAAGATTCAGTAAGAACAGATTTGTTAGAAAGGGTCCTTCCACTAAGATTCCAGTTAGCTATAATTCAGGATTTCCTCCTCCCTCCCCTCCTTCTGTAAAATATTATTATGTGCCTCCAATAAGGTTCTATTCATCAGTTTGGATCCCTGAAAGTTTTGAGTAAAAGGAAAGCTAAATCTCTAAGGTTGATGACAACATGTTAAGACTAAGTAAATGTGAACACTCTGGCCATTAATTTAGGAAACTTGTTTTCAAATAATAGCTCGGAAAATGAATACATGTATACATAGTGACAGGGAGATAACCATATTTATCTGTATTTATAAGACAGAAAATTAAATCCCAAACACTCCCATGGAGTGCAAAGCTCGCTGATGACTTTACTGACCATGTGACCTGTCCGTCAATGTCAGGAGGTCTCTGGACACAGCCTTCAGGGCAGCTCCAGGGACTGCTGCTCAGCAAGGAGCTGCTGCTGCAGGGACAGCCCCGTCTGTGCAATGGAAGAGTCCTTCCGACAGCTATTAAAACAAATCTGGAAACTTGGCTTGCGGGCCAGAGCAGCCTGCTTTGGTAGAAAGAGACCTGGGAATTAACTTACAAGGGAGAGGAGATAAACTCCCTCACTGCTAAGGGCTTACTTGGGATAACCGGATGCCAGGTCATAAGAAAATGAAAACAATTTAAAAATAATTATGGGAAAAAGACTGAGATTTATTAGCAGATCTGCAATTGCTTTTGAAACCTACAACCGCCCTCAATTTCCACATGGATAAGTTTGGAATAGTGACAAACTGAAGGCTGGGATGTAGCTCAGTGGTAGAGTGCTTGCCTAGCATGGGTGAGGTTCTGGTTGGATCTGCCACCCCATTAAAAAAAAAGCAAAAACGGACACTGAAGATGATATGAACTGACTCTAAAGCAAAGGCATTTGGTAGGAATATGCCACAAAGCGTATCATGGAAATATTTAGGTGACAGCACTGCTGTGATGGGGGAAGGGGAGGAAAAAAGGATCAAGATGCCATGTGCACAAGCTCCAACACCCCACTGTGGATATATCCATTGTAAGAAAAATTTTTAGAAGGTTTTAAAAGCCCAAGGGTCGTTTCCCAGAGCGGTCCCAGCCCACTCATGGGTAGTGTGGTCACACCTGCGCATGTGCGCACGCACACACCCGCACTTACACGTGTGCACGTCACACACATACGCTGGCCCTCACCTTTCTTCACCATTCTGCCCGCCACAGTGAACTGGGTGGAGTCGTTGGCGGCGCCTCTGCCCTTGGTCTTCCAGGCCTCTTCCCTCACGGTAATGAGATGCTTCCGCTCCTCGATCGTCATCTGGCTCTCTCGACTTTCTGTGACCCGCTGTTCATAAAATGTACGAAAGAGAAAATCAGAGAGAGACGGGGAGAGAGAGAGAGAAACGACAGAGGTGTGAGCTTCTGCCTGCAGCGTTTCCTGAGTGGAAAAGCAGGCACAAAATTAACGAGTAAGTAAAAGTTGCTCTTTTCACTCACCTAGGTAAACTCGGGTTAATGAGGACATGTCACAAAGAGGACGGTCTTTAGCACGGTCACTCTGGATGCCTTTCTCGTGTAAGCGCATGAGGAGCGGGCAGTGCCACGCGGGAAGCTGGTTAGGAGGAGTGTGTCCCACGGGGGCCCAGGACCGGACAGGCACTGTCCCTCCCGCAGGGATGGCGGTGGGCAGTTAGGCTCCCAGGGCAGCATGGCAGTGGCTGACACGGAGGGTGCTGTGCTGCAGACGTAACACGCCCACAGAACTTTTCTACTTAACGCTGGGAGGAGGAGGGAGGGGGAGGAAGGGCGTGGGTGATGGGACGGCGATCGGGGGGGAAGGTCCCCAGATGTTGTCAGGACAGGGGGCTTCATCCTCCCTTTTCATGCTGTCCCTCCCTGCACTACAATCCTTGCCCTTCGCGGGGTGCAGGACAGGGCAAGAAGCGGGCAGTGGGGAGCGCCATGCAGCCAATGCCTCAGGAGGGAGGAGGAGTGCAAAGGCGTCCTCCCAAGAACCTGGAGAGTTTCCCTGGCCAGCCGCCTGCTGTCACTCCTAGGACAAGAAGCTGGCGATGGCCTCCAGGTTTGTCCTATCCCTGTCACCTCAGCATCTTGCTCTCTAGCACAAACTGGGCTCTCCCTAATGTCTCCTGCCAAGCTCCCCAGCCAAGCAGAACAAAGTGATCCTACAGCTTTCCCCTGACAGTGGAGGACCAGGCGCGCACCCACAGCTTTCCATCCCGCTGGGGCAAGTGATCTGCCGTCCCTTCATGGGCCAATGGGCAGTGACGACCTGACTCATGAAGGACAGGAAGAGGCAGGAGCCCGCACGGCTCTTTCTCTTGCTGCCCTGGGCTGACGACGAGCATCACAGAAGAAAGGGGTCCTGGCCTCCTGTCCAGGAGGTGTCCCATCATCTAACTTATGAATCTTCCTTTCACAGGCCGTCATCGCCAGGAGTGTTCCTGAGATGACCTTGTTAATTTAAGATAATTTCATCATTTCCTAAACAAATAAGACAACGCACACATGATCCTGCCTTAGTTCCTAAGTGCTGTGGGGCTTAGAAGGCCCTTGTTGGGGGTACACTGATACAACACGAGCGTTGATGTGCCACAAACACCACATCAATTTTAAGTTCTTTGCCCTGATCACTGTGTAATTGTGCTGTGGTCATGGGGTGAGATATCTGAAAATGCACACTGAGGTATCGAAAGGAGCTTGTCTCCAAACTACTTGTGCGTGGGTGGGGGTGTAGTAAGGTTAAACACACACACGCACGCGTGCACACACATGTGCACACATGCACATACATCCGTGTTCATGAGGTGGGGGTAGGGAAGCCGGGGGAGAGGCAGAGGGAAGAAGGGAAGGGTGGTTAGGCAGAGAAGAGGAACTAGGGGAGGAAACAAGTGTTAACAGTTGGTAAATCTGGAAAGGTACGGAGGGTGCCCTGCCCACTGTGGAAACTTTTCTGAACGTTTTAAATTTTACCTATATGAAAAGTTATCCAAAAAAGCCAAAACCTTTTCCTTAACTTCCCTGCTCATGACTGACAGGAAGACTCTCATTCCATAGAACACTGAATCATACATCTGTACTGAGTAAACCGTAAGGCTGACTTGCCAGGAAGACCTCATAAAATTCAAGGAAGACTAAGTTTTCTTTGAAAATACAGTTTCAGGAGTGAAGTTGAATCAAATCAATATAATACTTGGCTTAAAATATTTCAAAAAAATATGAAATGCCAAGAAAATTGGCTCCTCCCAAAGTCCAGATATCACTAGCTCTGCAGTGAACTCTGACACATCTCCAGAGTCCAAGGAGGGGCACTCGGGTGTGGTGGATGACTCAGAAACAAGACACCCCCAGTTTAACAACCTACTCCCCAAAGGCCCTGGATACCCCTGGACTCCCACATGGACATGTGCCGGGGATGACATGACGACCGCAGAATTTAGAGTTTCCATTCTTTTGAAAGATTTGGGTCAGGAAGAAATATTTTTTACTCCCCTCTTAAAGATAATATTAAATACAGAAGTTTTCATTTCTTCAGAAGTTTCTACTTAACTTGGCAACTTAGTGGGTAATTCCTTTCATCTGACTTTCCATGGTTCTATAACAGGGCGAGGAATATATGGTTTGTGTATTCATGGAAGAATCTAATAAAATTTATTATAAGTGACTATTAAATTGCAGAGCTCAAAATATGAGAATAAGGTGGATCTCTTTGTCCATTTGCTTTTTTATCTTAAAACTTCACTATTGTCTTATTTTTCTAAATTTCTCTTTCCTTGTATATAGAGGAAAATATAATACACATAGCAGCAAATACTATACTAGGTCATTTCCTAGGGTTAGCTAATAGATATTTAGGATTGCCTAAATTCCTAAATTTAGGAATGTCCCATCTGTAATTCATCCTGTCAAATATAGATCCCAGTAACTGTTGGGAAGCAATGGAGAGGAATGTAGGGTGGGTGTGTGTGTGTGTGTGTGTGTGTGTGTGTGTGTGCAGAAGGTAGGGAAACGGTTGGGAAGGAAGAAATAGACAGCTACTTAGTAGGACATAGATTGGGACTGTTCAAAGGGTCAACTGGTAATAATGTTTTCCAGTCATCACATGGTTGCCGATGGGTTTGCCTCTCTCTCTACACCTACTTAGAAATCACTGAAAATCTCACTTCATATTTTGCACACAGGGGCGTGATACAACGAGAGAGTGGAACTAACCCATGTTGTTAGGATTAGGGCTGGCTTAAGGGTAGAACTCTTCTGCAATCCAAAAGCTTCAGAGAAAGAAAATGTGATTTGACCTTTAAGCTTCTGATCTTATATCCATTTAAACTCAGCTAGAACATAACAGACCCAGAAACAAACAACAGAAATAAGGCAAAGTGACAAAATGCTGGGCACTGTTAAAGAAATTCAACTTTGTCTTCTCCTTAAGAGAGCTTCCAGTCCAGCATCACTGCCGAGAGCCTCAAGGGGCCAGAACAAAAGAAGGCACAGAGTCACAGGCCTAGCTCAGACTCCAGCGTGACCACTGTCTAGCAAGCTACCAGCTCTGAGAAGGATGACAAGAAAGCAAAATCCTTGTTCGGTGCAGCCTGGATGCCTGTGAGGAAGGACAGAATGAATACTGATGCTCGACACAGGGCTCTTCTGGATGAAGCGTGTGTAGTGTTTAATGCTCTGTTTTCTTCTCTTACTAAAATTAAGGTACTAGGTGGCTAGAGAAAAGAGAAGGGGCGATCTGATCTTGGAGGACAGTAGTGATCTATCACCACCTAACTGGTCTAAAAAACACTTTCTACTTATCTGGAAAAATTGCTAAGAAGTAAATATATAGAATTAAAATATTAAATTTTTAAGTAATACAACATAAATTGCTTTTGGTAAATGCTATTTTTCCTCAAACTTAAAAATACATGGAGAGATAGTCCATGTTCATGGATAGGAAAACTCTGTTTTGTCCAGAGGTCAGTTCTTCCCAACTTGACATAAATTCAACGCAATTCCTACCAAAATTGCAGCACTGTGTGTTTTAGATACTGACAAACTTATAAAGTTTGTATGGAGAAGAAAAAGACTCAAAATAGCCAATGAAAAATTGAAGGAGATGAACAATGTTGGAGGACTTACACTACTGACCTTTAAGAATTCTTATAAAGCTATAGGAATGAAAACTGTAATATGTGGTGAAAGAACAGACCACTAAGTCAATGGAACAGGATAAACAAACCCAGAAAAAAGAAAGGGCAGTTCAACAGAGAAAAGATAATCCTGCAATATTTGGACACTCAGTCTTCCCTCAAATCTGCAGAATGATCTTACATTAACTCAAAATGGATCACAAACCTGAATGTAAAATGCAAAGCTAAAGTTATAAACCTCCTAGAAACTATTATGAGTCTGGGTGACCTTGGGTTTACTAATCACTTTTTAGATAAAATGTCAAAGGCATAGTCCATGAAAGACAATTGATAAGATGGACTTCCATGAAATTAATAATCTTTCCTCTGTGGAAGATACTGTCAAAAGAGTAAGGCAAACCACAGGGTAGGAGAAAATATTTTTTAAAGCATAGCTGATAAATGACTATTATTTAAAAATATGCAAAGGAGTCTTAAAATTTAGCAATAAGAAAACAATCAAGTTTATAGGTAAAGAATCTGAATAGATATTTCATCAACAAACACAGACATAAGCTAAGCATCAGCCAATATGCTCACCATCACGTCATCAGGAATTTACAAACTGAAACAACTGCACTCATTAGAATGCTAAAAGTCCTGAACACTGACAACACCAAATGCTGGCAAAGACATGGACCGAGAACATTCATTGCTGGTGAGAATGCAAAGTGGTACAGCCACTCTGGAAGAGAGTTTAGAGTTTTCTTAAAATAATAAGCATACTCCTACCCTACGATCCAGCAATCATGCTCCTTAATATCCAAATGAATTGAAAATTCACATTTGAACAAAAACCTGTAGATGGGTGTTTAGAGCAGTTTTCTCCATAGCTGCCAAAACATGGAAGCAACCACTAAAGATGCTCTTTAGTGGGTGAATAGCTAAATAAAAGGTGGTAAACGCAAACAAGTGAGTAACACACAGGACTAAAAACATGAACTGTCAAGCCATGAAATGGCAAAGGGATCTGAAATGCATATTATGAAGCAAAAGAAGGCAAACTGCAAAAGTAGCCTGTTGTCATTCCAGCTCTGTGACATTCTGGAAAAGGCCGTGGAGACAGTAAAAAGACAGTGGCTGACAAAAATCACACGTCTGAGAGTGATGAACAGGTAAAGCACAGGGGTTTGGAGGCAGCGGAGCTATTCTGTGTGATCCTACGATGGCAGACACATGTCATTGTACATTTATCAAAACTAAGAGAATGGACACCAAGAAAAACCCTAATGTAAACTATGGGCTTGAGGTGACGTGTCAGCATAGGTCAGCATATCAGTTGTCAGCGTATCAGTTGTAACAGGCGTGTCACTGCTGCGAGAGACACTGATAGTGGGGAAGGCTGTGTGAAGGAGGGCCAGGGCCAGAAACCTTGCCCAATTTAGTTGTGATCCTGAACCCAAAACTGCACTGAAGCTAGTTCCGTCTTTGTCTCTGTCTCCCTCTTTTTATGTATACGTGATATATAGAATTTGTAAGTACTCTCTCTATACATATAAATACACACATATACTTAAAGACTTCAATAATAGAACTTTGCTTTTCAAGTCTAGTACTGATTCATTTATTCGTGATGAAAGCACCAGTTTGCTCCAGATTTCAGCCTCTTTCATGGGTGAACACTGGTCTGACAGCTGTGGCCTGATGTGGAGACAGAAGCTTTAGAGAAGGGGCTGGGGCTTGGCCCACAGGTGGATGTTGGTCATGGTTTGGCTCTGAAATGTCTCCAAAAGGCCCATGTATGCACAACTTGGTCACCAACGTGTGGTGTTGGGGGGGTCTTGGAACCTTTAGTAGGTGGGGCCTAGTGGGAGAAAGTTAGGTCATAGGGGGTGTGGCCTTGAAGGGGACATGGGGACCCTGCCCCTTCCTCTGTCTCTCTTTGCTTCCTACCAAACATGAGGTGAAGAGTTTTGCTTTGCCACACACTGCCATCATGATGTTCTGCCCCACCATGGCCCGAAGGGATGGAGTCAACTGACCATAGACTGCACCCTCTGAACAGTGAGCCAAACTAGTGAACTGCCTGCCTCCTTATGAACCAGTTTTCCCAGGCGCTTCTGCACAGGGATGAAAAGGTCACTGACATGGAGAGGGGGGCCATGGGAGTGATGAACAGTGGGTGTGGCTACTTTTCACAGCTGTTGTGACACCAGGGCTACTTCCAGGGGAACAGGAAATACTTTTAGCTTTAAAAATAATCACATATCACTCAGCCCAGGCCAGGTTTGGGGTGAGTTCAGATGAGGTAGCGTGGGTAGGTGGGAAGGGGCAGGAGTCTGTGGCTTCTCATTAAACGGGACCGCTGAGACCTGATCAGAGCAGATGGCCACTTCCTGCCCATCTTCCTCCCTGTGCCTTCCACACCTCTACCATTTCCACATACTCCATGAAGCTGACCAAGACAACTCCTTACTGAGCCGGGACAGTGAACACTCTGGCGCACTTGGTGGGCTCCTGACAGGATTTAAAGCTTGGACACTGAAAAGGGAAACTTTCCCTTAAACCAGTTTCATCGCTGTGAAGTGAATTCATACCACTGGGTCCAATCCAGGGAAGTAGTGTATGTTGACTGATCCCAAACATAAGAACTAATGCACACTCTCACATACGAACATACACACTATCCCAGACTCATAAACACAGACATACAATCACACATACAAATATACTATCACAGACACAATCATACACACACACACACACACACACACACACACATACACACACACACATGCACAGTGAGGAGTCACTTTCCCAAATGAAACCCAAAACTCCTTCCCTACTGCTCAGAAATTGCAATGAGGCTTAACATGTATAACTTTTCCTCACCTGATTAATAGATACAAAAGACAGGTATTTATGGGCAGCAGGTATAGCAGGAGAATAAGTAGAAGCATATACAGGTTCCTATAGAGCAAAGCAAGAGGATTAGAGATAAAAAGAAGATCCATGAGAGCAGGGCAGGGCAGGTGGGGTTGGTGGGGAGAGACAAAAGCAATGACTTTTCTAACAGAAAGTTGATGTACTCATTGCAATTTCAGTTTTCTTTGCAGGAGGGCCCGGCTGTGACGCTAATACTACTAACACCAATCTGCACAGGCACAATACATGCACCCGGGTCAGTTTTGTGCAGTAACTCCATGAGTTAATGCAATGATTACCGCAACGTTGTAAGATAGTTACCGAGCGGGGAACCAAGACTGTCACTGACGTGTTCACATTAACAGAAAACCTCACCCTCATTAAAATATTTTCATTACATGATTAAAACCAAATTAAGGTCAGAGGATTAGCTCTGCAGGCTGGACAGAGGTTCTGTCCCGCCTAGGATACGAAAACCAGACAGGAGGGCACCGAGGGAACCTCTGTGATCAGAATCAGACCCCGCAGAGTGAGAGGGAGTGTCAGCCGCAGGCAGGTACTTTCAGAACGATCACGTCTGTGTGTTGGGGGGGACAAGCTCTTGCCCCTTTAAATGTCCTTCAAAGCTTTATTTTTCCTCCAGAAAAAGCCTTTTAGAGAAACAAGAAGCAATCCAAAATCTCTGAGGCAGCCTGACTCACTCTTTTGGGGTGACTTAAATTTTGCTCCTTAGAATTAGTCAATTCTCTGCCCCCCGGGGGGTCCTGTCTTCCCTTTTTCTGAACATGAAATGTGTGACCTTGAACTGAGCATGCCCAGCAGTGTGCCTGCTCTGCGCAGGGCGAGGAGTCCTTCCCACGTGAGCACGAGTCCACGACCACAGCCCCGTGCTTTTCTTGCGGGAGGCATGGCTTTGAGAATTCTCCCCAGAGTCCGCCTTCCCACAAGTAATAAACCTTCCTTCGCCCTTTTCTCTCCGGGGCTTGCTTGCGGGCTGGGCACTCACCCCGGGAGCCCACTGCGCTCAGTTACAGAAGGACATCTGTGCTCGCGTCAGGCTTACCCAAAGCAGATTAGACACGGCATTATCATCTGCAAATCCTCCTTCTTCCTACAGGTTAAAACAAACGGAGACGTTGCAGAGGGTTGCAAGGGAAGTCTGGTGAGGGTGCCCTGTCATTTCCAAGTGCTCGTGCCTGGTTCAGCCGGAAGCATGCAGGTGTTCACAAGCCAGTGCTCACAGTCCCTTGGCAGGAACCCCAAGGAAACTCACTCCCTGAGGCAGGAGGATGACTTTCCTTTGGAGGTCATCGCGCCAGACTTGTGCTCCTGCTCCCCCAGCCTTGCTCTCTGAGCTTCATTCCCCTCAAAATTATGATTTGGAATTTCAGTGACAGAAGGAAATATGAAGGTGGCAGATTCGCCTTCCTTGAATTTTCAGGAACTTGTCGGGAGATGTCATAGGTCTTAGCTGCAGTCACTGACTGGATCAGGACTGAAGCATGCTGAGACATCCAGTTCTCAGCTGGGATTCAGAAACAAGCTGGGCGGGGTAGCCCATTCCTGTAATCCCAGCACTTCAGGAGGCTGAGGCAGGAAGACTGTAAGTTTGATCCCAGGCTGCACAACTGTGTGGCTTAGTGAGAACTTGTCTCAAAATAAAGAACTACTAAAAGGGCTGAGGATGTAGCTTTTGGAAGGGCTGTGGGTTCAATCCCCAGTGCTGCTGATAAAACCGAAACAAATGCAGGAGTTTTAATGTCCCAAGAAACGTCATATACACTGGCTCACAGGATAATTATCTTCTTCTTCGTTATTTTTTAGCTACTGGGGATTAAATCCAGGACCTCATGCATGCCAGCAAGCATTCTACCACTGAGCTACACCCTGAGCTACATCCCCAGATCTTTTTATTTTGAGTCAGGGTCTTGCTAACATGCCCAGGCTGGCCTCCAACTTAGATCCTCCTGCCTCAGTGTCCTGAGTAACTGGGATTACAGGCTTGTACTACCCTTCCTTGCTCAAGCACAGATCAAATCCCCACCCCAACCTACAGGGCTGACTCAGGGCCTCATTAATGCTCGGCAAGTGCTCCCCCACTGACCCACACCGCCGGGCCCTGGATAGGTATCTTAAAAAGAGGACACGAGCGGCACCGTGGACGCTCTAATGTCAAATGGGCCAAACTGGGCTTGGATTTTAAGCTAATTTTTTGGGTGAAAACAAACCCCGCAATTTGGTTGTAACAAAAAGGCTCCAGGGAAACTGCTCTAAGATTTTGTCCTTTTCATTTGTTCCTCTCTCCAGGGGAATGAGTTAACTCTGGAGGAAACGGCACACAAACCATGCTCAGGAGCACGCGTCTCACGCGGTGTGGACCAGGCCGAATCTATGAACGGCATGGCTCTGGTGCCTTTGGAGAGAACTGCATGTGCTACCCGGAGCAAAACCATTGAAGTCGGGTTAGCACTGGCCTGGACCAAACTGAGCACAGGAGAAAGACAAGGGTGGCAGCAGGGGGAGGAAAAGAAAAAGCTAAGTGATGTTTCCCAGGAAGGACAGCCAGCTGGGCAAATACTTCTGTCCCTCAGTTCAGATCATCACGCTGGGGACTGGGAGGGGTGAAAGTGGAAAGCAAGGAACTGCTTCGAAGTTCCATGTTCCCTAAGACCTAACTGGAATTTGAGAGCTCCAAGGAAAACTCTTGGTTCCCCAAAAGCTATTTACGGTCTAGAACAGGGCCCTTCTACTGCTAAGGGCTCCAGAGCAGAGGCACCTCAACGTCTTTTCTTATGGGACAACCCTTTGCCAGAAACAGAGTGCCCACAGATTTTCAAGGCTTCCTATTCTTTTTCTAAATGTGGCTACTGGCGCATGTAAGTGACCTGTGTGGCTCCCGTTACACTTTTACTGGTAGCCCATGTGTGGCGTGGATTTTCACAGGGGCCGTGGAACTGACCTCCTGGATCCTCACCGTGTCCTGCCCCTCCTGTATCCCCAGAGCTGCAACCCATAGGTCAGGGCTCACGGCACACCAAGTGGGAGGAACCATGGATATATGCCGTTTGGTAAATTCACAGATTCGGAAGGAAGTGACGACCTGACCGGGAACCCAGCTCCTTCCTAACCAGGACGTGCTAAGAATGGAAAAGCAGCTCTGCCTGGGCAAGTTCAGAAGGACCCATGCACAAGCCCCATCTGCATGCACACGTCCGGTGCCATTCCTCCTCCAGGGCAGCGATCAGACAGGTCATTCTTCACGTGGGACACCCTGCCTGAGCGCAGCACAGGGGGCCCTGAGATACACGGCCAGCCCCGAGAAGCAGCGAGCCCAGGGGCTGGCACAGGCCAGCTGAAAACCACGAGACGTCAACTGAACTTGAGATTCCCCAAGGTCAGCAGTGAAGATCCCAACATAGATTGGCTTCTTTGAACTTCAAAGAGCTTACTGTTTGAAGCCAAAGTGGACCAGGCAGCTGGGGAGGGCAGGGGTAATGAGGTCACTCGGGCTGCAGTATCAGCGGCACCCAGCCGTCCAGAGGCAGCAGTGCACACGAGAGTCTCAGTCACGCTTAGAGCCCCTCCTTGGCCTTTCAACCCCAAGGAGGATGCAGGGTGAGCCGGCGCCTCCGGCCTTCTCCAAACCTTAGCCGTGGGTATGGGCAGTTCCGCTCGTCCTCTGCCCCCAGCCTCTGTGCTTGGAGGAACCTCAGTCTCTCCAGTGGGCAGTGCTACCCTTGGGGAATCTATCTTGTTTTGTGCTTTTTAGCTTCATTTTAATTTTCAGCTGGCTGTCGGGGGCCTTCAGCTCCTGAAGGGTTGGGGTCAGCCAAAGATGCTGGCCACCGTGCCATTGTGTGTCAGATGACAGCAGTGTTAGTCTGTGTTAAGGTTATTTTTTGAGCCACCAAATTTCAAGATTCTTTTTTTTTTTGGCAGTGATAGAGATGGAACCCTGGGCCTTAAGTATGCTGGGTAAGGCCTCTACCACTGAGCTCTGCCTCCAGCTCCAAGAGTCATTTCAGTAAAGGTTGTGGGCTAGGATCGGATGCACCTAGCTTTCTTTTACCTTGAAATCTACATTTCACACGTACACATTTTAATGTTCTCGGTATGCTTGAGAACTTTATCAGTGGCTGAGATGAAATGTCTTTAGTTATCATCTTTAACACCACAAAAGAGAATTCAGACTGCTCTTGCAGTGTCCCCTGTGCAGACACAGAATAAGGTCTGCCTCCTAACTCACAGTGTGTGCCATCTCATTTTTATGTAAGTTCCTTAATGTACAAACGTCACATTCATAATTTCTCTCTTTCACAGATGCTTATTTTATTTCATTTTCGAGATGGGGCCCAGGCTGGTTCTGAACTCAGGTTCCAGTGAGCTTCCAACTTTAGCCCCCAGTGTAGCTGGGAGCGCACGGCTGCGCCAGCGGGGCTGGTTGAGATACTTCATTTTAGAACTACAAGAGGTCCATGCAACCAACTAGTTGGAACATTTTTTTTCTTTTCTATTTAAAGACTTTAAGCCCTAGACACTGGCCAGGAGGCCTGGCTCGCACGCTGTCCCTTTGCCTCCAGCCAGCAAGCGCGTCTGCAGCTGGAGGGCCGGCCAGCACAGACGTCACCATCAGTTTTGAAAGTGCGCGCGACTGCTCAAGGCTGGTCACCACTGCATTCGTGACTTAACAGCTCTCCAGGGCTCTTGCACGCACACTGCTTGCGAGTGCCGATCACCACGTCTGACTTGATTCTGTTTAAACTCATAACACACAAGGGCGACCTCCTCGTTATGAGGGAGGCTGAGGGGTATGAGGAAAGCGCTCACAGGCCGCAACGATGTCCCTATTTCTTCCACTTAGGTCTTGAATCTCTGCGCGGGAAATTCAAGTCCATATATTAAATGCAATGCATAGCTGTTAGTAGGGAGTTGAAGTTTTTTATTTGATTCACATTCTAAAGCCAGACTTCACTTAAGAAAGGTTTCAACGGTGTGCACAATTTAAAACTCAGGCCCTTGCTCGCTGAGGCCTTATGCAGGATGCTGTTATCAATTCCGTAATATCCTAAGACTTGACCTTTTGGTGGATTTAAACAAACTCGAGACAGACGAGGTGTTTAGCCTAAGGGCAAGAAAGCACCTAATGCTCCACAAGTGGGGTTAGTAAGCCACACACGCTTGTCTCCAGGCGCTTTCAAGGGTGGTGTTAGCGAGAATACTTTTTCCTAACATGGAAAGCCTTACCTTCTTTTTAAGCGACTGTTCCACTTCCTGGACATGCAGGCTGCTGGCGGCAGGTGCTTTGCCATACTCCTGCTTTCGGTTCAGCCTGTTCTTCCAGTCCTCCTCGCCGCTTTTCTTCAGCAGTGCTAGTCTAGGAGGAAAACACGCCAACCACAGAGAAGTCAGCACCAAATTCCGCACACTGAGCAAAGCTGCTCTCCAAGGTGATCCTGAAGATCTCCACAGTGGAGTGAAAGTCACGCTGAAATCTGACTGCTAGGAGAAACCCGCACTACCACTCCAGCAAAGAAAGGGTTCTGGATGTTCCTTGCTCTTGGGCTGAGAGGACAAGAGATGAAAGTAACCACCCCCAGCGAAAATGTCTTCTAGCGACCCCTTCTGGTCACTTGTTGGACTAACATTAGATAATGAAAGTTGTGTACTTCTTTGCAGAAAATATCACACAAATGGGTTTAAAAACGTAAATATATAAAGCAATGAAAGACATTAGCATACATTTCTGTTAGAGAAAATTATAGACTTTATAATGTTTCTCTTCCTGTGCTAAGCCTTGTTCTTTCCTTCCAATGAACTTGGTCTTTCCAGTGCATCTTAATACAGAAACGATTTTCTACAAACCCATTTTAAAAACTATCACTTCAGTTTTCCCCAAGGGAAAGAGAGCTACAAAAAAAGAATCTAATTAACTAAGATTTTTATCTAGCCTACTTTTATTCAACTCTGGCGTGACTGGCTGTAAAGCTGCTCAGAGACTGTAATCTTGAAAAGTCATTTTCATGAACACGACGTTGCTTTACAAGTCTTGGGTATACAAGCTGGACCAACATGGAAGAGATTAAAGGCAAAAAGTAGTGGTCATAGGAATTATTGGAGCTGGTGCTCAAACAATCTAAGTGATTAGGAAAAACAGACCAGACCCTTTCCCCTCTGGGACTGGGCTGACAGCCTAGGTCCTACTATCAGTTCCAGTCCGTACCCTGTACGCAGAAGCATCAATAAATAAGACTTTAGAACAGGGAGCATGAAGCAGCCCAAGACCAGGCGTGACCGTGGGCTCTTGGACTTCCTAGACTTCAGGATTGTGAGTCAAAATAAATGTCTTTCCTTTACTAATTAGCCAGTCTCAAGTATTGTGTTACAGCGACAGAACACGGACGAAGACAGGGACACAGCAAAGATCTGGGAGGCAGAGGGTGCAGGGGGCGGCCCTCCGTCCCGTACCCCTGAGGGCTCGTGGGGGTCCCACTCCAGCCTTCCTCTCCGCCTACTGCCCCACATGAGATGGCGGCTCTCTAACCCCATCTCTTCCTCTTCCAGGACGAAATGTGGAAATAGGCTTTCCAAAGGCCCAGGGTGCTTTTTAAGAGGCGCTGACAGTTTTATCCCTAAATAACAGAAGGGTGACATCATTCACAGCACTTCTCGAAGAAGTTCCCAAACAGGGAGGATCTGAGCCAAATCCTTTACAGTTACAAAATAGTGGCTTTCGTTGCTCTTGTGGTAAAAGGAAATTGCATCCTAAGTTTTGTGCTAGCTAGCGTTCAGACTCGGTATTTTAGATGTCAGGAAATATGAAAGGAACTTTTAGATATGTTTTTACAAGCATCAAACATATATTCTAAAGGGGAGTGCATAGAGGATTTCCTGTCATTTCTTAGTGCATATACTTTTTATCTACAAGAGAGGAAACACTGCCACCTCGTCAGCACTAAATGAGACGCTGCCTGCCGGATGCTTAGGGCCACACAGGAGGACAGGACACTTAGTGGCACTGGGCGTTCAAAACTCTGTACAGTCACAAGCCCAACGGGGGAGCAGAGGCCTTGCGGTTCAGTAACGGGGGCTGCATGCCTCAGACTATTCAGACGACATGAAAAAGGAACTCGGGGTTCCAGGCTCTCTTCCCTAGAAGCTGTTGTGGCTAGAATGTAAAGTGATGCAGTTTTGTCATTTTCCGCAAGGTACAAACAAAAGTACTCTCAAGGAAAGGAAGAATGATCACTGGTGATATAGTTTGTATCAGCATAATTTATGACAAACATAAACGCTAAATAAATTGCTCTCTGTCCTTTTCCAAAGGGAGATTTTAAGAATTAGGGCCGAAGATATGGTGCTTGCCTGAGTGCTCAATGCCCTGGGTTCCATCCCCAGCACCACCCAGAAAGAAAGAAAGAAAGATAGAAAGAAAGAAAGAAAAATAGAAAGAAAGAAAGAAAGAAAGAAAGAAAGAAAGAGGAAAGGAGAGTGAGAGAGGAAGAAAGGAAGGAAGAAAGAAAAAAGGCAGATCAGCACAATAAACTGAACTGCTGTCTATTCAACAAACATTCCTAATTTTTTTAGATTCCGAAAGACTTCATCAGGAGCCTCCGTGATGCAGATTACTTAGCCCCCCCACCACCACTAGGTCCTTGCTCTACACACTCAACTTTGAATACACTTGAAACCTCACAGTCATCCTTGAGCTTTTCAGATGTCCAACCAAACCCAGGTGAAAAAACTGCACTTTTACAATATTTCCATTTTAAAACGAAGAATTGTGCAACAGGGTTAAAACTGCTTTTGGAAAGATAAAAATCAACTAAAATTTTCCAAGACAGACAAGCACATCAAGAAGTACTGTACAGAGGACAGACACAGAACTTCTTTATGTAAGGTCCTAAGATCCAGTAGCGAGGATGCATCCAGAGATGTGGGTCCCTATAAAAGCCTTTGAAAGACAGCAGTGCAAGAGCATTTCCCACTGGGATTTTATGCCAGGAATGTTTGCAGATAAATAAAACATTAGGACTGTGTACATGACATTTACCTTTTATCAATACTTAGATCCCAGGGATCAAAATATGAGCCTAATTTTTGGAGAAGAGGACTTTACATAGGTCAGACTGCTTTCCTGAGTCCTGACAGACACTTCTCTCTGTATCACCCCCTCAGCCTGGCGGGTCTCATTTAGTGTGCATTTTAAATAATTAATGGTGGAGGTAAATAAGATTCAATTATCTTATTAATCTGTCTGTTGAAAAAACCTATGCTCTATTTGTTTAATATTTTATTGCTGAGGACCAGCTGGATGTGGTACAGAGCAGGCAATAATTAACATTCATAAATTGGCACAAAAATAAATCGAGACTCTGTCCTAGGCCTGCATGACTTGTGGTGAGATTCCTAGCTGGTTTAAGAACAGGTTAATCTTTAAACCAATGAGTACAGCTAAGATTAGCCAACAGTCTGAAGTTCTGGGGCCTCAAAGCAAACACACAGCCGAGGACTTGACTCCTGTAAATCCCTTCTAGCTCCGTAGTAAGTTAGCAGACAATCGGGTTACCGGTTAACCATGATCTGCTCCCGTGTGCTTTTCCAAAAATGCACTGTTCCTCAGTTCCTGCACCCTGACCCATCAACAGTTCACCCCGCCTGCTTCCTGCAGTCGCCGCCAGCAGGGCCCGGAATCAAGCTGTGCACCCAATAAAGGGCAAGGACACCGAGCCTCGGGGTCTTAGTCCTTGTTGGTTTTTGACCATCCCGGTGCCCCTTGTAACCAAAACATACATCTCTTGTCTGTGTTTCATTCTGTCGGCATACCCGAGTGGGAGATCGGTGGTCCTCGGCCAGGGCCCTGATATTTTATGACAAATGTTCCCGAAGTGTGGCTTGAAAAACAGAAAGAATTTTCACTGTGGCCTGACACAGAGCCTCAGGTAGCTTGAAAGAGATCTGGAAAAGTAAGAGGGGCCTGCGCCTGGCAGAGCAGAACTCCCCCCGTGGTGGAGATGCCAGGGAAGATCCTGGTTGACACAACCGTGGGAACAAGCGGTGGCAACGGCCCTGCTAAGGACCCTGGGCAGCAGTGCAGCATCTTTTCATTCAGCTGCTACCACTGTTGCGTGTCTGCAGCTTACATCAACTGTGGTTAAAGGCTAACGAGAAAACTATATCCTCAAAATTATTTAGTTCCTACTCCTTATACCTCTCCATTGAAATCTGTTCTTTCAAAACTACATTATTTTTTGAATGAAATGAGGCCATAGTGTTGATGCTTATCTGTATCAACACCGTGATCATTCACAGCTACTGTCTGATAGAAAACTTTTAGGGCTGAGTGCCGCTCAGTGGTACGGCACTTGCCTAGCATGCACAAGGCCCTGGGTTAGGTGCCTAGCACTGCGAAGAAAACAGAACATCTAAATACTATTCACAAGTCATTTATCTTACTTCCACTAATGTAAACCAAGCATAGATTCTAACCCCAAAGCTATGGACCCTGTATATAAATTTCTCCTCATTCCCTGTATACTTAGCTTACACCATCACAAAATGGTTTGTGTTGTTCATTTGGATCATGAGTCTCTGGAAGGAAAGAGCCCAGATTTCAGGTCCCATCAGTAGATGATGGAAGAATTTGGTATCACATGAAAAGAAAAGAAAACAAAGAAAGGAAGGAAGGAAAGAAGGAAGAAAGGAAGGAAAGAAGGAAAGAAGGAAGGAAGGAAGGAA